TGGACAACCAACACCCGCAAGAGAGGAGGTGGAGTGCACTGCCCATGCTCGGCCACAGATGGCAGGGCGCGCCATATGCAAAGAGCTCCCGGGAATCAACAAGGAGCTGCATGGCTGCAAAGCAGGAAGGGCCACCCGGTGCCCAGAACCCAGGCGGGCCTGTCCCCATGCAGTGACCCTCCTCCCCAGCTCTGAGAGACAGGTCACTGCTGGAGGGGTGAGGGAGCCCTGGCTGCCCGCTCCTGGAGCCGAGGAGACAGGAGCATCAGAAAGGAGAAGATGCCTCCGGGCTCCTCCTCTGATTCCCACTGAACAGACTGGAAGTCACCAGAAGGGACACCAGAAGTCACCACGCACCCCAGGGCTGGCAGCAGCGACAGCAAGCGGCGGGGCCTGGGCAGCTCAAGACAGGACACACCCCTGCCCCTTGATCCCCAGGGTCTAAGGACGTCGATGTCTTGGCCCCGAGCAGGGGCGGCCCTAGGGGGTCGCCAGGGGTCCCCAGCAAACGCAGGAACCAGGTCAGCACCCACCCTGCACCCAGCTGGACCCGACCAGGGCCCGCCTGCCCTGCCCGCTATCCGCTGCTCAGGCCACCAGGCTCTGCTCTTGACAGAGACCATCTGACCCGCCTGGTGACATTCAGCACAGGCCTCTGCTCCGCATCTGCATGTCCACCCCCCAGAGCACAGGGACCTTTCTGGGCTCACTGCACTGGGTCCCCGGAGCATGCTTCGGGGGGCTGATGGCCAGCCGTTGGCCGAGGGCGTCCTCGGGCTCCGCTGGCCTCATTTGGAGAGGAAAAAAGGGAGGCCGCTGCTCAGAGGCCCAGGGCTGGCCAGGACTGAGCGTATGCGCCCCGACACGGCCCTTGGCGCCCCACAAGGGCGCCCCTGCCCTGGCCTTGGGGGTGCCCACAGCAAGCCGCCACCCCAGGGCTCAGCCCCAACCCTCCAGGGCCCTGCTGCCACTGCACCCCTTCCTGCCATGTGGCCAGAGGGAGCCTCTAAGACACAGGCGGTGCCCTCTGGCAGGGCCACTCACTGTCCCCAGAACAGAGCCCCGTTACCTGCCAGGCCCCACCTGGCTGCTGTCCCCACACTGACTTCATCCTGTCCAGGTCACCCTCGTCCTGCCACAGGGCCTTCGCACAGCTGTGCCGCCACCGCCAACTCGGCAGCCGCTTCTTCCTCACGCCGGCAGACCGGCCACCTCCTGCCCTGCCCTCCCGTCACCCCCGTCCCCCTCTTCTCCTGCCCACTGGGTGGTGGCCTACTGGGGCACAGACTGGGTACCTCTGGCCTCGTGGGTCGGGTGTCCGGGTCGCACCTCTCAGCTCAGTTCTGGGGGAGGCTGTACGGGCCCCGCGCGGACAGAGCTTCCCTGGACACGGCGGGGCATCGCTGGCCCTGGCCCCGTCTCCCCCGCTGCCCTCTGCACGCTCAGGGGCAGCGGGGGAGACCCTCTGGCCACAGCTCGTGAAGGAGCTCAGCCGCCCCGGGGGCACTCCCCACCCACACGGGGGGCCTCTCCAAGGGGAGGCCGAGATGCCAGGGCAGAGGGCCTGGGGTCGCGTCACTCGGCCAGGAGGCGGCCAGGGGTGCCTGGGAGCTCTCTGCCCAGGTCAGCCTGGACCCAGGCCTGCGGCCCGCTCCCGGAGGAGGCTCTGAGGGCATCCTGCCCAGGCCCACCCGCGGCTCCGAGCAGGCCCTCCTCTGCAGGCCACCTCGCAGGGCCCGCCCTGGTGCTCCTGGAGCTACGGTCCACCTGTGGGGTGCTGGGCCGCTCCAGAGCCAGGCACCTGGGAGTGCTGCCCACTGGCCAGCGCCCCAGAGCTCTCCTGAGGGACAGGAGCTCTGTAGAGCCAACCATGCTGGGAGGTGACAGTGCTGTGGTGGGGAGGGCACGGCCAGGGGCAGAGGGAGGGGCTAGAGGCCGGAGACGGAAGTGAGCAATGTTTGAGGAGCTGAGGATGCAATGACACGGATCCAGGAAAAGAACATTCCAGAAAGAGGATGCAGCCCATGCAAAGGCCCTGGGGCAGGATCCAGCCTGGTAAGCTGGAGGAGCAGCCCACGTGGCGGGAGCAGGGAGGGGATGGGGCAGGTCATGCAGGGCTCTGTGGGCTACAGGGAGGACTTGGCCTTTGACCTTGAGTGATCGGGGGCATGCAGGGCTGTGGGCAGGGGAGGCAGGACCTGGGCCAGTCCTAAGGGGTCTTGAGGAAGAGGCAGGAAGCGGGGGTGGAGCCGGGGCGCTGGTACAGACTGGTGGAGGCTGTGGCTGCACCAGGTGGAGGCCGAGGTGCCGGAGCTGTGGGCAGACCCTGCCCTGGTTTGGAAGGCAAAGCTGACATAATTCGTCACCAGATTAGATGTGGGGGTGGGGCAGGGATGAGGCCACTCTTCTGCGGCCACAGGAGACAGGGTAGCAAGGGATGGCTCAGGAACCCCCAGACCATAGCTCAGGCCAAGCCCACGGGCAGGCCCTGCGGTGTCCCCCAAGCCTCCAGTCCCAGGAGCCCTGCCGTGAACTAGGCACCCCGGACAGCCCCCATGTGCCTGGTGGCCACAGTGACTGCCATAGGCCAGCCGGGCAGCCTGTTCCAGGCTGGGCATCAGGAGCCAGGAACCCTCAGAGTGCCCAGATTCTAAGCACCAGCGAGAAGCGTTTCACCCACCGTCAGACTGGCCGAAACCGCCACGGTGGGCCCCCGGGAAGCCCTGAGTGCCTCTTCAGTCTTCCTGCCCTTGACCCAGACACCAAATGGCTGGGACACCAAGTGCCAGCACTAAGCACCAGTCACAGGCCCATGTTCAGGGACACACAGGTGACCCTGCTGCAGCAGCCAACCCACCAGGACAGGCCCCGGCAGGGGTTGGACGAAGCCCCAAATGCAGAAGCCTTGGCAGGCAGCAATGGGTACAGACAGTGCGGTCCCCACCCCACATCCCGCCCAGAGACCAGGCGCAGAGGTGAAGTCACACAGCAATGGACGGCCGGGCTGGAAGTGTCACCCAGCAGGACTGCTCTGGGCTTCCTCCCGGGGACAGACACCAGGCAGGAGGCCCAGATGCTACAGATGGGAAGCAACGAGTCACAAGATGAGGCGCAGCGGTCCTCGTGGGGACCCTACAGGACAGGCTGCACGGCGTCTGGACACGTGGCTGTCACGGCTGGAGAGCCCCTAGTATGGAGGAGACCAGGGACGCTGCTCAGCCCCTTAAAATAAAAGAGTTCCAGCCCCAAATGCCATGGTGCCAGGCAGAGGCACTGGCAGGAGGCAGCCTGGTGGGGAGGAGGGGCCGCTGCGGCGTGATCACTCACGGTGTCCACTTATGTGCATGCTCACAGGGCAGCAAGAAGGGGTGTGGACTGTCACCACGCCCAGGTGGGCAGAAGGGGTTCCCAGGGGCAGCAGTGTGGAGCCCGGGCCCAGCTGGCACTGGTGGGTTGTGTTTCTGTGAATTTCTGGGACAGGAGGGCAGGCCACTCCTTATCGCCCAGCTCCCTGCTCAGATCAGCCACTCTCTGTCCCCAATCAGATCACAGAGTCCCTGATAAGGCAGATGTCTTGTGGTCAGTGGGTCTGAGGCTGCTGTGTCCCTGAGCTGCCCAAGCAGAGGGCTGATGCCCAAGCAGGAGTTGGGCGGGCTGAGAAGGGACCGAGCTGGGGCCCACTGCCTGGCAGGCTTCCGCCTCCACGCCTGGTGCTGGCCGGGCCACCAGGTGACAGCAAAGAAGGAGGGCGAGTGGCTCCTGGGGCTAAATGGGGTCACCTAGCAGGCAGCTCCAGATGGCAGTGGGGAAGGAAGCGGGGGCCTGCAGCCTCAGACCTGCAGCGGGGGCTGCTGCGGCGCCCTCGCCCTCGCGCCTGCCCTGGCAGCACAGCACCACCTCGCCTTCCTGCCAAGGAAGCTCGGGCTGGTGGAAGCAGGGGCTCGGATGCCCGTGGGTGTCTGCAGACACCACCACCCTCGGCCAGGGCCGCCTGCGAGGGGGGGGGGCAGGGTTCTGCAAATCCGGTAACTTCCTATGTGGGAGCTTGTGACCTCACGGAGAAGGAACCTTCCGTTCTGTTCTCTGGGCTCTGTACACCGCCCCGCGAGACGCAGCCCAGGCCCAGGCACAAGGAAGCCATGGCCTGCACAGCAGGTGCCGGGGAGACGGACAGGGCCAGGGCTCCTCACTGCACTTGCCCTGACACGGACTGCACCTCAAAACACAGTCCCCCTAGAGCCCCTGTTTCACAGGGAAGTAAGCTGAGGCCAGGAAGGGAAGGGACAGCCATTGCCGGCACCCAGGTCTGGAGACTTCCAGAAGGAGGAATGACAGGACCAGGAGGCTGCCCCAAAGCAAAGGTCCACCTCCACCCCCACGGCCACAGGGTGACTGCTTGTGGGGGAAGGCCCAAAAGGTGACAATCGCAAGAAGGGCAGCCCAAACTGGTGGCTCCGGGCCGGGGGGTGGCATCTGGGGCAATGTCACCCCTAGCCCTGAAGCGCCTCGGAGGCAAGGCGCCCACTAGCATGGGGGTGCCCCAGCATCCCGCACACCCGGAGCAGCCCCTCGCCCACAAGAGGGGGGAGGCCGACCCCTCTGCGCCCTCGGCAGGAGGCAGCTCGCCCACCCTCTTCCCAGACCCGGTCCCGGCAGGCGCGAGGACCCCTCTTCCCCGCATAACTCCAAAAGGGGCTCCCTCCACCCACAGGCCCCAGACCGGGCCCCGCACCCACTCCCGCCCCCAGACCGGCTGTCCCTCCAGGGACCCCAGAGCGGGCGGGGCGCTGCAGCCTCGCGGCCCGCGCGGCGCGTCCCCCGGGCCTGGCGTGGGGCGTCCCGGCGCCCCCCGCGCGCGCCCGCGAGTGGAATGCTCCGGCGCGCCGGCCGCGGGTCCCCGCGCCCCTCCACGCCCGGGAGGGCCCACTGCGCCGCGGCGGGGGGGGGGCGGAGGGCCGGCCCATTCGCGCCGAGGGGGGCGCCGCCGGCCGCACCGTTACCTGACGTCGCCCCGCTGTCCGACGACCAGGCCGCCTCCGCGGGCACGGCCCCCGCCTCGGCACTCTCCGCCTCGTCCGGCACCTCCAGCTCCATGTCCGCGTGCGGACCGGCGGCGGCGAGGCCCGAAGCAGCAGCCGAGCTCGGCCGCCGCCGCTGAACAACAAGCGCCGCCGGCCCAGGGCGGAGGGAGGGGCCGCCGCGTGGGGGCGGGACTGGGGCGGGGCCAGGCTCTGACGTGCGGCTCATACCGCCAATCGGAGATCGGGGGCGGGGCTTTGCGGGCCCGGCCGGAAGCTTCGCGAGCGCCCCCGCGTGTCCAGGGATGGAAGGACGGCGCGGTGTCTTCAGGGTAGGTCAGGGGTAGCGCTGTGCACTGGAGCCGCAGGTAACATTCGCAACCGACAGCAGCAGCGTTATCGGTCCGCCACTTCGGTTACGCACTGTTCCCGGGACGTTTCGCGCTGCCTGTTATTTCATGTATTGTACATGAAACAGTCAAGGGTCTGCATTATTCCTCAACACCGTCAATTGCATTACATAATATTCCTATTACATAAAATACATGATGTATTCCATAAATTGTATATCATGTGCGTGAATAAATACTTATATTTGGATAAATAATATAGAAATAGTATGGAAGTAAGGCTGGGGTCGAGGCTCAGGGGCAGAGCGCTTGCCCAGCATGTGGGAGGCACTGGGTTCTATCGTCAGCACCGCATATAGATAAATAATAAATAAAGGTCCACCGATCACTAATAAAAACAGCCGGGTGCACGCCTGTGATCCCAGCGGCTTGGGAAGCTGAGTCAGGAGGATCTCGGGTTCAAAGCCAGCCTCAGCAAAAGCGAGGCGCTAAGCAATTCAGGGCCACCCTGTCTACATGAAATACAAAATACGGCTGGGGTTGTGGCTACTGGTCAAGTGCCCCTGAGTTCAATCCCCAGTACCCACTCACCCCCCCAAAAAATAACTAATAGGAATATTTTTTTAAAAATAGTATGGAAGTATAAATTACCTATGTGTATATTTGCATATTATATTAAATAATGAGTTTACCTTACTCATATCATGCTTGCATTTATGTTTTATGAGTGATACAAATATATAAGTATTTACATTTGCATATTATGGTTACATAGGATAATATCAATACACTGATACTATTAATATAATATGTATCTATATGAGTAACAAATATATAAGGAAAGAATTACATTTGTACATCATATATAATACACTTACATTATTCATGTACTAGTACTCATTTACATTTATATGAACTTATGTGAGTTATAGAAGCACATTCACATATAAACACAATGTACATAGGTAAATATACACTGATGGGCAGGGGTAGTGGTCAGTGAGTGGTATGCATGAGGAACTGGGTTGGATCCGCGGCACCACATAAAGATAAACAAATAAAGGTCTGTGTTCATGTACAACTAAAAAATATTTAAAATACTATTACTTAAGTATATACATATATACTGGAATGTTTATATCTGTATCTATATGATCATAGTAAATTCTTATTATTTGTGAATATCAACAATAGATGTAATATGCTAACAATTTGTTGTATTTTATTAAGCATAATATGTATATTATATATGATATAAATATTAACATCAGTAAGCCAAAATGTGTGTTGCTATAACATAAATGTTAATGTATATGACTCTCCCACCTTTTTATTTTCTGGTACTGGAGGGTGGGAACCTAGGGTGGTGCACACGCTGGGCAAGTGCTCTACCACTGAGCCACGTTCCCAGCCTTTTTTATTCTTTATTTTGAGATGGAGTCTTGCTAAGTTGCTGAGGCTGGCCTTGAACTCGCCACCCTCCTGCCACACACCGTGGCTGGGATCACAGGGATGCGCCACGGCACCCAGACTCCACATGATTATTTGAAATGCTAAGTTGCGGGGCTGGGCTGGGCTCAGCGGTAGAGCGCTCGCCTCGCGTGTGTGGGGCCCTGGGTGCGATCCTCAGCACCACATAAAAATAAATAAATAAAATAAAAAGATGTTGTGCCCACCTACAACTGAGACATAAATATTAAAAATAGACTAAGGCGTGAGCGGTGATGTCCACTCCAGGCTCAGAGGTCTGCGTGGGGGCCTCCTGAAGCCAGGGACTGGCTCTCTGCGGTTCCAGGTCTCCGTGTCCCTCACTTCCACGCTCCTGGCAGCCTGACACCTAGGTGACCTAGGCACCGTCCTGGTCCTCTCCTGCATGTGCACGACAGGGGCCCTCAGGCCTCTAGCCACCTGGGCTCTACTCCTGGTGAGCGCTTGCTCACACACCAGGCCCTGGTTCCGTCCCACACCACGCCCTGCCAGTGGCTCCGCAAGAATGGTGCTCCGGTGGGTCCTGCAGGTGGCACACGGGGACAGGGGTCCCGCTGCTGAAGCACCATGATGGCTTTGCTACGGAGGCTCGGAGGCTCGGCAGTCAGGAATCCTGAGGTCCTGGTCTGGCTGTTAATAAGCTGCTATTAATAGTTCTGTTCATTAACCTTCTCTGCAGCGGGCAGCGTGGCCCCTGCTAGTGAGGAGCGGCCTGATTCAGAGGCCTGGACCGCCTCTCTCAGGCAGCGGGAGGGAGGGGCCTGGGCTGTGGGGCCTGGGGATGGACGGAGGGGAACCAGGAAGCCGGGCAGGTGGTTGTCAGACCTCGGCCCCAAGGATGCGGCGGCAAGGCTGTGCGTGGGCCCAGGAGGCAGATCAAGAAAGGGAAGAAATGGCCAAGGCCCCAGGGAGGGCAAAGGGGCCCCCATTAGCTGTGCCCAGCTAGAAGGGAGTCCACCCAAAGGGGACAGGCACAGTGTCAGGCGTCAGACTGGTCCACGCAGAGCCCGGAAAAGGGAAGAAATTCTGACACCGGCCACAAGGTGCCCTGAGGACACAGTGCTCAGTGACAAGAGCCGGGCACAAAGGGGCACACACTGCAGGGTCCACCCACAGCCGGTCCCTGGAGTCCTCAGGTCCACAGAGACAGGAAGCAGCAGAGTGGGAGCCAGGGGCTGGGAGGGGACCGGCTAGTGTTGAAGGGACAGAAGTTCAGTGTGGGAAGAAGAGAAAGTTCTGTGGGGACAGCTGTGCGCCGTACGAGGGCTCCAGGCCCCCAGCTGCTCCCTTACCAGTGGCCACGTGGTGCATCCTACACCTGCCAGCTCCCTTGACCCCTGTCGTGAACAGCGGGGACACCTGAGCTGTCCAGAGGAGACTCGTCTAAGTGCGGGCCCTGGAGGCCGCCTGGCCCACCTGGACCGCCCGATGCACCTGCCCAGGCATCGGTGGGAGGGCACAGTGTGAGCTCATGAGGCTGCTCGGCAACTCAGGTGCCAGGGCAACTCGGAGATCATCCGCCGGCCCGGGCAGTTCAGGAAGGGCAAGGTTAGGTACGACGCCAGTAAGAACAGGAAGCAACTTGGAAAAACCACCAAAAAGCAAAACTGGAAAATCAACAAGTGGCATAAAAGTCGTGATTGAGACACGGAAGTAAATGTCAAAATAATCTGTAAGAAAGGTCAAGGAGGGGCCCGTGGGGGAACCGCGGGAGGCAAGGGCTGTCCATGTTCTCAGCAGGACAGAGACGGCTCCGCGCTTTGAAACGCAGTGTGTGCGCCTTCGATGAAAATAAGAAGCTTTATGACTTTGGCGCTGGGGCGGAGGGACAGAGCGGGTAGGCAGCGGGTGGTGAGCGGGGCCGGGTCCCGGGCAGCAGCGCTCTTGGCCCCGGCGATCCATGTCCACTCCCTGCCCATTTTGCAGGGTTGGAAAACTGAGGCTGCCCGGCGGGTAGTGGCCGGGTTTCCAGCGCCCCCTGGTGGCCACGGCGCCTATGACGTCAACACAGGTAGGTCCCCGCCCCGCTCCCCTTGGCTGCGATCCATCTGCCCTCCAGCCCCAAATGTATCAAGCACCTACTGTGTACCCTGCTGCGCTCTGGACCACAGGGGATGCCAGGGTTCAGCCAGACAAAATCCCCGACCTTGAAGATGGCCAGCAGGCGAACCAGGAGGCGTGAGGCCGGCTCAAAGGCTGAGCGCCGACAGAGTAGGGTCGATGGGTGGACCAGGGTGCTTCTCAGGACACCGCGCTGGCCTAGTGCGCATGCGGCCCTGGGCTCCACCCCAGCACGCCACGCAGAAAAGCAAAACTGTTAAATCCACAAGTGACTAGAGATAGAGATGGAGCGTTAGAGTGGATATGCGTAGGTACGTCTCCACGCATCCGGTGCGCACCTTCGTCATCCCAGGGCTGAGGAGGCTCAGGAGGGAGGATGGCAGCTCCAGGCCAGCCTCAGTAACTTCGTGAGGCCGTGTCTCTAAATAGAAAATAACAAGGGCTGGTGATGTGGCTCAGTGGTGGAGCACCCCCGGGTTCCATCTCTAGTGCCAGATCACGTATGTCTATGTGTGCATATTCCTGTGTACATATGATGTTCATGTGAACGATCGAACCCGAGGAAATCGGGGACAAGAAATGACAACAGGATAGAGAGCAAACATGGACTCCAAGCTCACGGTGGTTTGGTTTGGTTTCCTTGCACCGGGGGATTGAACGCAGGTGTGCTTAACCACTGAGCTACACTCCCAGCTTCTTTTATTTTGCCGAGGCTGACCTTGAACTAGCGATCCTCCTGCCTCAGCCTCCCGAGTGGCTGGGATCACAGGCGCGGCCACCAGGTGGCTTCCCAAGCTTGTGCAAAGCACAGTCATCTGAAAGAGCTGTAAGGAAAGCCGGTCTGAATGGCTGACCCACCTTTTTAACCATATGAGAAGCAGCCCGAGTCTTGCCGCAGGCTCCACGGAGCCTGGAGTTTCGGCAGGGACCCGTGGGCAATGCGGGCAGCTGCCGAAGTCCCGAGCCACAGCCTCCGTCCCCTGCGCTTCACACTCAGCTCTCTCCTCGGTCCTGGATGAGCCCCGACAGGGTCCAGGCCTGGGCAGGGGGCGCTGCTCGCTGTCCCCGAGGCACCCGGGAAGCGGGTGGCAGCGTTGGGGTGAGTGGAGACTGCCCGGGGGCGCAGGGCGATCGAGCGGTCCGCGGGCCTTGAATGCGCCGGGCCCAGGCACAGGTAGGGCTGGGTGTCGCTGCCCGGGCCAGCAGGGGTTAAGGCCGGGCGGCTCCCACGTGGGAGCCCCTTGCGACAGAGGCACACACCCAGCCAGCCGCTGGGTCCTCCCTGGCACCCACACCTGCCCACTCGCCGGCTGGGCTCGCCCTGCAAGGCACCTGCCCGCCTTCTGCTGCCCGCGGGAGGACCAGTCCGGCGACAGGCAGGGCCCAGCCGCCAGCTCCACTCCCGCCCCAGGCCGTCCAGGTGGGCACCTCCAGGGTCCCGCCAGCTGCCAGACAGGTAAGTCCCCACCTGCTCTGCGGCATCCAACGTTGTCCGGCTCCCCATGCCCCGCGGCCTGGGACCCCGCTGCCCCGGCTCCCCAGAGCGTGGCTGCCCCTCCCCGGGCCTGACACAGTTTCCGAGGGATTGTCTGCCCTGGCAGCCAGCCCAGCGCACAGGGAGCCTTAAAAGGGTCATTGTTGGCCCAGGAGGTGCTGGGGCGAAGGCAGCAAGGGGACACTGTGGGACTCCCTCCATCCCCCAAACTGAGGAGGGATGGTCCTCAGGCCCACTAGGCTGGCCCTCCCTCCCTACCCCAGACCAGCGCAGGGTGGCAGGCGCCTGCCACCTGGCCCAGCCTCCCGGTGCTTCCTGACCCTGGTGGCCCACCGCGGGGACCTCAGGGGCTGGGGAGTGGGCTGGTGTGGGACCCCACGCAGTGGGCAGTGGACAGGGGCAGCATAAACTGGAAGGTGAGGACTCCCAGGTCGGGAGGGGACAGGACTTGGGGGACAGGAATGTTTTTTCTGGGTCATTTGCTCCTAAATGGGAGAACAAAGATAGCGTCCCAGAGAGGCCAGTGTCCGGTTGCACCTCGCGGCTCTGTCCAGGCCCAAGGAGGCCTCTGGGCTGGGAGGGGCCAGGACCGTGGCCTGGGACACAGAGCGGGCCTGGCGCGGGGGGTGGCCCAGGGCCCTGTAGCCAGGAGGTGAACGGATGCCTGAGCCCTGGGTCAGAGCCTGCGGGGTGGAGGAATCCCAGCCTCTCAGAGCTTTGCCTTGGCCCCTCTCCTCCCTGGCCTCGAGCAGAGCAGTAGCAGGTGCCAGGGCATGCAGGGCTCCAAGGGAGCCATCCTACCACAGCTCGGAACTCAGAACACAAGGCCAGTCCCACAGCTCCATCTGATACCCCATTTTACAGAGATGAATCCAGGCTCAGAGAGGGCAGCCACTTACCCAGGGCTGCACAGTAAAGTAGGATTGTCATGCAGACAAGAGCCCAAATGCAGAAGGGGGGTGGTCTGGAGGCTGGCCCTGTCCCCCAACCAATGCCCCATGCTCAACATCTTGAAAAAGTCCCGCCTGCTGGGCCCAGCACTTCCGCCTGGCTCTGAGTCCTGGGGAAAGTCCACAGCAGGGAATCTGGGCTCCTGTCCTTCCTCTTCAGCCTGGCCAGGCGCCAGGGAGCAGTGTTTGCTCAGGGTGCAGCCTGACACCCTTTGGAATGGCCGAGGTCAGTGGGAGGCATGGCTGGGGCAGGGCTGCCTTGCAGTGAATTGGCATTAATTGAGCACTTACTGTATGCCAGGTGCGCAGTTCGTGACTATTGGGGTACAGCAGTGAATGAGACAGTCAAGACCCCTGCTCCTGTGGGGCTGATGTCTTGAGGGAGAAGACAGAAACAAAACCAGTAAAGAAATCGTGCCACAAACGGCATCAGGGGTAGGGGATCCTATTTTACTGTATTTTCACGGAGCTGGAGCCGGAACCAGGCCTTCATGCAAGCACTGCCCCACCGAACCCCACCCGCCCTGCAATTTTATATAGAAAGGTGAAGGCACTCACTGAGCAGCTGGCATCTGTGCACAGACTCAAAGAACCTGAATAGTCGGCCAAACCCAGGCCCAGGCAGAGGGCACCAGTGTGCAGAGGCCCAGGGGCAGGACCAAGTCTGGCATCTGGTGGGCACAGTAAGGAAGGAGCCCGTGTGGCTAGAACAGAGGGAGGAGGGGAGAGAGAAGGAGGGGAGGCAGAGAGGGCCTGGGGCAGGTTGTGCAGGGCCTTGGGGGCCAAGGGAGGACTTGGCTTTGACCTAGAGGGAGGTGGGAGCCAGAGAGGATACCGGAGGGCTCTGAGTCAGGTGCTCCTTCGCGCCCTCCAGTGGCTGCTGTGGGGAGGACAGGCTGTGAGTGAGGGCGGGAACGGGCATCAGGTGGATGGACTGGGCTGGTCCAGGGGGAGGCAGATTCTGGAGAGACTTTGGCATGTGCTGATTGCGGCAGACACCCAGCGTGATGAGGAAGGGCGGGGAGGGTTAAGATGGGGAGCGCAGTGGGGTGGCCACACCTGTCGTCCCAGCGGCTCGGGAGGCCGAGGCAGGAGGATGGAGTTCCAAGCCAGCCTCAGCAACTCTGAGGCCCTGAGCAGCTCAGGGAGACCCTGTCTCTAAGTAAAATACAAAATAGGGCTGGGGTGTGGCTCAGGGGTGAGGGGACCTGGGTTCAGTCCCCGGCACCACTGCCCAAAAGAACTTAGATAACAAAACAGACGGGGGGGCAGAGTGACGGGGCAGGGAGGGGACTGGGGACACCCTTGGGTGCCAGGGTGGAGACACTGGCCTCCTGGTCAGCCTCTTTTCTGAAAGGTCAAGGGTTGGGCTGGGGCAGCTCCCAGCAGGGCCCTGGGTTCATCCCATAAACAAGAAGGTGAAGGCTGAGCAGGTGGCACCTGGAATGCTCTGAAGTCACCCATTCACAGGGAGCCGGGGGGCACAGGCTGATCCCGCGTCACACACACACTGCCATGGGGGAGTACCTGGGCCCACAGACAGAGCAAGCCTGGTCAAGGCCACTTGGATGATCAGCTGCAGTCTCCCCAGGACAAAGTCATTTGCATTGGAACCTCTCCGCCATTTGCAGCCATTTACCAGGTTCTAAAGTGGTTCAAAGGCAAGGAGAAGCACAGATGACCAGAGGGGCCCAGGGCTGGACTGGCGGGCACTCCATGCTGACCCTCGAGGGCACACCAGGGAGCCGCAGGGCGCTCCTGAGCAGGAGCCCAGCTCGCGGACCGTGCATCCTGGGCGGGGGCTCTCTGTTCAGCATCTCTTCCCAGCCCGTGCAGGCCTCACCACGGGATGGGGTTTGGTATGCAGTAGGTGCTCCATAAATGAATACATAGCCTTGGGGAGCCATCTAAGACTCTGAGCAGTGCACTTACAAGGACAGAGTCAGGCGTGGCCCTGGAGTACATGAGGACGGGGCGGGGTCCTGGGGGATCGGCAGGTGGCCCCCGGGGCTGGGAGCAGGGACTGTGAGTCAGGTCAGCGCTGCGGGCCCTGCACCCGGCTGCTGCCCAGGTCAGAGGTGCAGTGTGGACCACTTGGGGGTGGACGTCCCTCCAGCAGCAGGACACCATATCTCGCCTGCCTTTCCTGTGGGGCCCTGAGGGGAGGAATAAGCCCTGGGTGAGCCCAGGCAGCCGCTAGAACTCTCTGCCACCTGCACCTCGTCAGGCGCCCCAGACCCACGGGGACCCAGCAAGGCCAACCCCTGGGACGTCCCTCCCTTCCCATGAGACTTGTGGCAGGTCCTGCTGCTCCCGGAGCCTGGCCTTCCTTGGAACCCTGGCTGGCTCCTGGACCCTCGCCCGCCCAGGGCTCCCCAGCCCCCCAGAGAAGCCCCCCAGAGAAGCCCCCCAGGGACAGTCTCCAAACCACCTGCCCCACCATCGGGACGGCGGGGCCCCGGGAGGACAGATCCTAAGGACAGGCAAGATCCCCCAGCTGGGTGGGGGGCAGGAGGCCTGCTCCTGGGTCCCCCCAGGTGACCCCAGACGTAGCTAGGACATTCGTGCCAGGGAAGGCCATGGGAGCACAGGATTCTGGGACATTCACTTCATGTGGTTTTTCTTCTTTTTGTACCAAGGACTGAACTCAGGGGCACTTAACCACTGAGCCACGTCCCCAGCCCCCCTCCCTTTTTTGTGGTGCTGGGGACTGAACCCAGGGCCTTGTGCCTGCAAGGCAAGCTCTACCAGCTGACCTGTACCCCCAGCCCCCCTTTTATATTTTATTTAGAGACAGGGTCTCACTGAGTTGCTGAGGCTGGCTTTAAACTCACGATCCTCCTGCCTCAGCCTCCTGAGCTGCGTGGGTGACAGGCACATGCCACGGCGCCCCACACGATTCATGACAAATGACACCTGTGCGGCCAGCCGGCGGGGACAAGGCTCGCTGGGTGGCTGCGCGGGGTGCAGTCCAGGCCAGCGGGTCCCTCTGGTAGAGCCAGGAGCGGGTGGGCAGGCTCAGGGGATGGAGATGGCAGTTGTCCTGTGTGCGCTCTGTGGACGTAGTCACTGTGCCCCGCAGACAGGCCCACTGTCCTGGGACGATTTAAAACAAGTAACGAGAAAACAAGGAGAAGCAACAGGCCTGGCCCTTGTCCTGCCCCGTCCACACCAGGCCTCTGCTGACCTCCCCAGGAGCCGTGTCCCTTCCCCTCTCCTACCTACCTCTAAATGTCCCCACACAAGAAGCTCACCTCAGCCTTCCCGAGGCCAGGACTCCCTGGTCTCCCATGACTCCTCGGCCACCCCTCCCAGGCGCTGCGTTTCCAAAGTCCCAAGGGTCCACCCCACGCCTCTCCTGCTCACCCACAGCCTGTCCTCCCGGCAGCCACCAGAGGGCACCTGTGAGCACCTGCGTCCTCCCTGGCTCCGCCTCTCTGGTTCCACCTGTGTCCCCCCCCAGCCTCCCTGCCTCCCTCCCCTCTCTCCACCTGTCCTCGGCTGCAGCCCTGGGCTCCAGCTGTGCCTCCTCTTGCCCCGGCCTCTGCACAGAGGCCCTCATCCGGGAGCACCTTCCCCAGCTCCCAGGCCCCTCCGCCCCTCCTGCCGTCTAACTGCCCTGGGCCTGGTGCCTCTCACCTGCCCTCACCTGTCACAATCCAGGCCAGGGCCACCTCCTCAGAGCGGCTCTCAGGAGACCTCCGGCGCTTCATTCCCCTCTGACTCTCCCAGGACGGTCCGTCTCCCTGGGGACCACAGGCTTTCTTGAGGCAGAGACTATCCCTTTAGGACCCTTCTCATCAGCCCTCAGCTGGGCATTGTGTACACAGTGGGCGCTCCATAAATGCTAAAGCCACAGGCCAGAGCCCAGCGGGCTGCTGTTTCTTCAGGGTGTTCCTGGGTTTCCGACAGACCCGGTAGGTCACGGGGGTGACCCCAACCTCCCCGGGCCCAGGGACAGTCAAACAGCCTGCGTCAGCTGCCCCCCACCATCCGCCAGGGCCCCGCCCTCCGGTGGACACGCCCCGCGGGGTCAGCCCAGCCCCGCCCTCCCCGCCCTCGGGGTCCCCTGTCCAGCGACCTGCAGGGACTGTCTCTCAGCCCAGCCGGGTGTTGAGCAGAGCCCTGCCTGTCCCCACCAGGGGCCAGGGGCCCTTTTCAGCTGCAGAAACCTTGAGACACCAAGTGTCCCCTCCCCGCCAGAGACCCTGGTTTGGGGGATCAAACAGATCCCGCATCCCGTGCCTGCGGGTCGGGATCGCCACTGGATGCAGCTGGCCGGGCTGCCGGGTGGGGAGGGCGGACGCCAGGCCAGCACCCACGCACAGCCACCTGCTGGGGCGGGAACACAGGACTTGTCCCCGTGTCTGTGCCCAGCTGGACTCCCGGCAGGTGCAGCCTGGATTCCCCGCGTGGGGCCGGCAGCTGTTCAGGGAGTCGGCAGCCACCCCCACCCACCGTGCTGCCCCCTGTGGCCGATGGGGGGTGGGGGCTGAGCTACCCAGGTTATACAGTAGGTGCTCAGCAAGCCCGAGTCTGGGTTGAAGGTGATGTTTTTTTAGAAAATATTTTATTCATTTATTTATTTTTATTTTGAGAGAGAGAGAGAAAATTTTAATATTTATTTTTCAGTTCTCGGCGGACACCACAACATCTTTGTATGTGGTGCTGAGGATCGAACCCGGGCGCGACGGCTTGAGCCACACCCCCCAGCCCGTTACTCATTTATTTTTATGTGGTGCTGAGAGTGGAACCCAGCGCCTCACACATGTGGGGCAAGGGCTCTGCCACGGAGGCCCACCAGCCCTGAAGGTGTTCTTAATTTATTTTTAATAGAAGTAGATGGACACAAAGCCTTTATTTCATTCCTTTATGTGGTGCTGAGGGTCGACCCAGCGCCTCCCGTGTTCCAGGCAAATGCTCCAGCTCTGAGCCCGAGCCCCAGCCCCAGCCCTGGGGAAGGGGTTCTGCATTGGGTGAGTATGGGCTGGGGGCTGGGGGCCGTTTACTGAGCACCCAGGGAGCCATCTCTGGGCCTTTCGCTGTCTACTGTGCGGCTGTGCAGAGTTCGGGGAGACCGTGCCTCTGTGGCTTGGGCCCAGCCTGAGGCAGGTTCAGTCAACACCCCCATTTACAGAAGGGAAACTGGGGTGCAGGGCTGTTCCGCTGCTTGCACTGGGTGGCAGTGGCATGAGGTAGTGGGTCACATTACTGTCTTACTCCAGGCCCCCTTTAATCTTCCAGTCCACTCTCTGATGTAGGAGCCATTATTTCTCCCAATTACAAAGTGGAAATTGATGCACAGAGAGGGGAAGTAACTTCCCTGTGGTCACACAGTGAATAGGTGAAAAGGCTGGGATTTGAATCCTTCCCCCTGAAGTTCCAAGGAGGCCTCCAGAAGGCGCTTTGGGAGAGGCTTATTCTAGTAGGCGGTAGAGGGTCCCTGAGGACCCTTGGACTAGTGTTTTGGATGATTTCAGGAAGGGGTGAGAAGTCATTTGGGAGGCCTTGCACGCGCGGGCAAGTGCCCTACCACTCAGCTACACCCTGGGCGCTCTGTAAACTTACATTTTATTTTGAGACTGGGCCTCCCTAACTTCCCTGGGGCTGGCCTTGAACTTGTGATCCTTCTGCCTCAGCCTGAGCTGCTGGCATTACGCGCTGGGCACTCATGTTTGTACTCTCTCCTTGGCACACTCTTGGCCGACTCTCAAAACCCTGCCTGCAATGCCCGCCGCTGGCCTGGCAGATTCTCAGCGCCACCTCCCTCCGCCCAGCCTGAGGCCCGAGTCCTGGACACCGCCAGCCCCAAGCCTCAGGGGCAGGGGGCGTGGCCACAGCTGGGCGCAGGTGTGTGTCTCTTCCAGTGGGAAGCGCTGTTGGGAGGAGTCACTGCCAGCTCCGCCGGCGCAGGTCACTCCTGCGGCCCACCCCAGGAGCAGCTCTGCTGGCCGGGGCGGCCCGTCCTCGTTCCTACCTTCCCAACCACCTGGGAGGGCGAGGCCCACCTTCTCTCCCGGAGCCCAGGGCATTCCCTCCTGCGCCGGCCGCTCCCCTCCTCGGCCTCCCTCTGCAGCTGGGGTCTGGGCAGGTGGGTGCGGAGCGGGCCTCGGTGCTGGCCAAGGTGCCTCTGGAGAAAGGCGGTGCTGCTGGCCTCCCGGGCCTCGGCTTCCCCGTGAAACTGCGCGAACTTCCTGGAGACTGGCCTCCTGGGGACGGGGTGGCCCGGGAAGCACCACAAGCTCCTGGTCCACGCGGCCTCCCAGATGAACCTCGAAAAGTGCCCCTTTCGCGGATGGGAAAACCTCCCAGGTCTCCGCTCCGTTCCGAGCGGCAACCCGCTGCCGGGTCTTCCTCTCAGCCAGGTCCTGCAGGACTCCGGCCCCAGCCGCAGGCGAGTGCTCGGCTGCGCGGAAAGTCCGGCCCGGAGTTCCCGCCCCGGGCCTGGAGCCTGGGATGGAGGGAGGGGGCCCAGACGGCCTCCGCGGCTTCCCGGGGGCGTGTCCGGCCGGGGCGGGGCCGGCCGGGACCTGAGGAGGAAGAGGGCAGGTGCCGTCGGAGCCGCCGAGCGGGTGGAGGAGGGCGAGAGCGGGTCCCCACCGGGCCGCGACCCTCCGGAGCCTCTCCCCCTGCCCCGGTGTGGGGTCCGATTGTCTGTTTCCAGGCCCCCGCGGCCGGGGCAGCGGGCGAGCCCCAGGGTGGACCATGGCGGTGAGATTCCAGGCAAGTAGCCCGCCGCGGGCCGGAGCGGGTGGGGATCCGGGTGGGGTGCAGGCGAGGGCGGCTCTGGAGTCGGACCCGGGACCCCCGACCCTCCACCTGCCGACGGCAGGGGAAGGAGGTCCCGAGGCCTTCCCCGCCGCGGGTACCCCGGGGTCCGGGTTCGAGCCCCGCCCCCTCTGCCCACCGCGCTGCCTGGCCTCGGGGCGGTCAGCGCCGGCCCGCGCCCTGTCCCCCTGTCCGTGGGGAGGGTCCGAGGACGGGTTTCAAGCGCGCGGCGCAGCGAGTGTCCCGCGAGACGTCCGGCCGGGCTGCGGGCACTGAGCCGCCGCTGATAGGGCGCCTACTGTGTACCGAGCCGTCGGTGGGCGGCGTCGTGCCCGAGGGCTTGGCCCGGAGCGGATCCCGAGCGCCCAGCCCCTTCGCACCGCCTCCAGGGTGACCCCAGCGCTGTGCCAAGGCGCCTGGCGTAGCCACGCCGCCCGGCTCCGGCGCGGGCGGGTCTGGTCCCCGTCTTCGCTGCCTCCAGGCTGCGAGGGACGGCCCGTCCCCTCCCAAGCCCGGGAGTCAGTCCCCCAGCCCCCCTCCCTGCCATTGTTCCTGGGGGCAGGGGAGGGGGGAGCGGCAGCAGCCACGTGCCCCGGGGCTGGGGGCGTCGCCTCCCGGCGTTTGTCCCGCAGGGGCGAGGACACGCCCCACAGCTCCCCTGGACTGGGCGGGGCCACACCTGCTGGAGTCCTTCCACCTTCATCTCCCAGCGCCAGGCCTGCGGGGACGAGGCAGCAGTCCCCAGCCCCCCGCCTGCCCACCTGGAGCTCCCAGGCTGGGGACCGCGCAGGGGACACAGCAGATTCTGAGGTCCCAGACCCGGGTGATCAGGGCTGGTCCAGGGGAAGGGGTGGGAGGGGTCGGGGCCCTGGGCTGTGGGGGGTGAGTAGGAGTTTGCCATGGAGCCAGGTGGCTTCTGGGAGGGCCCAGAGGAAGGACGGACTTACCTGCGGGTGATGGAGTGAGGATGGGTTCAGAGGGTGGATAGGACAGGTACCGAGAGCAGGGCGTGTCCTGGGGGCCCAGGGGAGCAGTCAGCTGGTGGCCAAGGGGACTCCTCATGTCCCAGGGTGTCCCCGGCACAGGGGACAGCTGGAGTGGAGCCAAGCTGAGGTGGGCCCTGTTGGGCTTAACACCGGGGCATGGGAGCCCGGGTGTTGCCGCCAAGCTGTGGTGTCCAGGGAGACAGCCCACTCCAGCAAGCAGGGACAGGCCCGCCCCTGCCCCGCCCCCAAAGGCCTGGCCCCCTGGGGTATCTTAAAGTAAAGCCGGGAATACTAATGGGGGCAGGGCGAGTGTGCAGAGTGCTGCCTCAGAGCAAGAGACTGTTTGAAAAATAAGTTCAGAAGCAAAACAACTGTAACTCAAGGCGACGCTGGGCTGGTGGTCAGGGCTCAGGGTCGGGTGCCAGGGTTCCCCACTGTGCTGTGGGACCCTGGGAAAGTTGCTGAGCCTCTCTGGGCCTCCTTTGTGTGTGTGTGAAATAGGATGGTAGCGAGGTGGCTTCCTGCAGTCTCTGGGGTTAAACGCTGGGCCCCGTGAAGCAGGCGTTCTGTGGCCACTCACACCCTACTGGGGGGCAGGTGGCCTCCTTCTTCATTC